CACATCTCCAGGGCTCTCGAAGATCTCAGCATAGCTCACCAGCATGAAGGTGAAGCAGAGAGAAAGAGGGCCTGCCTCCAGCAAGCCATCTATCTGGGTTGTGCCTCCATGTGATTGGCAGGCTAAACTCCGCCCCTGCACCATGCCTCTGCATCTCCCTAATGGAAGTTTCTATATAAGTGTCTAGGACACAGCTCCCTCTCAGATAAAAGGATTATTCAGACAAACCTACATTTATTGAGTGCTCATCCTGTGCCAGGGTTATCCCTACGCTGAAAAACCCTTGAGGCTAGTATCAGGTCTCACCTCCTTTGTATGGCAGAGCTAGGATTCACCCTGGGCAGTCTGGCCCCGCAATCTGTGCTCTGTCCCCCTCAGCCTGTGACCCCCCAACAGTACTTTCGTCATAGGAATTGCTGTGGGGAGTCAATGAAGTCATGTCTAGAAAGTGCTTCACATTGCAGGGCGCTTGTGTCCAATCAACACGGGGAGAAGGAAGAGGACTTGCTAAGGGAATATAGAAGCAGGGTGAGGGGGTATGGTTCTGAGAGGGTGGGCATCAGGCTACTGGAGGAAGCAGGTAAGGGTCACATGGTGCCGAGACAGGTGTGGTGCCAAAGCCAAGAGTGGCACTAACATACAGATGCCCAATCCCAATTCCAAACTCTGTTGACAGCACATCAGAGCAGCCTCAAGCCATTGCCTATTTTTTGGTGTAGTTTTTGTTTGACACCTCGCCCGCCCCCCCGCCACACCTCACTCCCACCCCAAATACACAGGCAAACAATTAAGCAGGGCCTCCTGTCCCAGCCCGGTGAACTTCTCCTTTTATGTCAACCAGCTGCCATCAAGCCAACTCCGACCCCTGCAACCTCATGTGGGTCCCAGTCCACCTTGACCCCATCAAGTTTTCCAATGGCTGACTTTTCAGAAGTAGGTCCATCTCCTGAGATGCCCGTGGGTGGACCCGAACTTAGCAGCTGAGCATGATAATGGTTCACACTCCCCAAGAACTCCATTTATCCTTCTATGCTTGTTTGAATGCAGTTTGTGTTCAGTATACCCATACTTTTTCCAATGCCACCCTGTTTCCTCTTGGAAGTAGATCAATGATACGAATGTTTCACGAGGCTGGGGGTGGGTTTGGAGACACATGCACCTTGTGCGTTTAGACAGAGGCAGCCACCATCAGTGCATGCTTACCACGTACCCACTACAGACCGTTCCTGTGAGCTTGTGGTATCATCATTTTTCTTCTCTCTAACCACATTTTGCTGTTCAGCTGTGACCACAAACACACTGCAGCCACTTAGACGTTTTCAATATTAAACATGGCGTTCCTTTTTGGATGTTACCCACTTAGGAAGGCAGCAAACATCTGAGTGTCTTAAAGGGAAGCAGCTAGCCCTGTGCCCTTGGAAGTTGAGTTGAAAGGTTCTGTTTGTGACTCCTAGAATATGAGAGAAGGCAGGCTGTGTGCCCCTTGATGGTGTTGAGTCTTAGTCACCCTGGTGTGTTCCTGTGTCTCTTAGAGGCTGGGGGACATAGTGTGGCAGTGGACCTGTATTCTAGAGCCACTGTGGCTTTGTGTTTTGGTAAGAGTACCGCCCCAGGTTTGCTATGCAAACCCATATGAGCCATTTCCATTCCCACAGGTAATGAACAGCACTTGATTTTTTATTCTATGAGATATTCAGAAGTTTGCTTGAATTTTAACTTCCTTTAATGTCTCTCTTAAATGCAACATAATTTTACATTTGATCCTTTGTTTTAAGACTTGGGACAGAAGCATCATGAATTAATTCTTTAATAAAAATCACTTTCTCAAAACTCAGTGTCATTGAGTCATTGTGACTCAGTGACCCTACCTGGCAGAATGAAATGCCTTTGTGGTTTCCAAGGCGGTAAACCTTTACAGGAATACAAAGCCTCATCTTTCTCCCTCTGGATGGCTGGTAGTTTCAAACTGCTGACTTTGCAGTTAACAGACCAGTGCATAACCCACTATGCCCCAGGGTTCCTTTCTTTAACCCCTGGAGGGGTAAAATTGGTAATGAAGTATCATTTGCAAAGGAAGGTGGTCATCTGACTTCTTTTCTTCTGGAAATGACAACATAGTAGATGAGTCCCATCACAGAAATGACAGTCAAGCAAAGGTGTGGCTTGCTGGGGGGCAGGAAGGGTTAGAGACAACATGTGTTCACACAGAGCTGCTTTTCCAGGTTTGGGTGGGAACAGTTGCTAGTGAGTCAGTTCCAGTGCATGGTGACCCCATGTCTGTCGGAACCAAACTGAGCTCCAGAGGACCCTCAATAGGTCACTTTTCAAAGATCACTAAACCTTTCTTCTGAGCTACCTCTGCTCAGGTTCCAATTTCCAGCCTTTCAGACAGTAGCTGAGCACAGGAACCATATGCACCACCCAGGGACTCCTTCCCACATGTAGCACATGCTCTCAAGAAATGAAAGTACAGGGTCCTCCCGCCTTAAAATAGAACCCTGTGGTGGTTTTCCTGTTGTGGTTGCCTTCAGTGATGCCAGCATGAGGGGGTGCCAAGCTAGGATCCCTCACCTCAGCAGACAGTGGGGCGTCTTTGCTCTGACTGACAGAAGGTGTCGAATCTGTGCATACTGTTGTCTGGACAGAGATGACACTTCTCAGCCTCACCCTTGACACGACTTCCATCCAATCACAAGGGCTTGTTCAAAATGATGGTGTATGGCCCACCCCTCCATGTACACTGGACCACTCACGCTGAGATCATCAAATGCTTACAGGGCAGTCCTTGAGGCTAAAGCAAATTGCCCCTGGCTGTTTACCCTGAGTGGAGCTCTGGTGGCATATCGGTTATGCGTTGGGCTGCTACCTGCAAGGTGTGCAGTTCAGAACCACCATCAGCTCCTCGGGAAAAAGACAGCCGTCTCAGAAACTCACAGAGGCCGTTAGTTCTGTCTTGTCCTATAGGGTCACTCGGAGTTGCAATCAACCTGATGGCAGGGAGTTTGGTTTTTGTATTTCCCCTCAAAGGAGGACAAGAAACTGTCCCGCTTGCCTGGTATTTGTCATCCAAAAGGCATTTGTGCCTCTGGGGCGGTGCCTTAGGGAAGTCTTACAGAAGGTGTCTCTCGGCTGGCCAATGTATGATATATTCTGTATCATCGCTCTGCCAGTCCCTGGCGACTCGAGGACAAGAAAACACAGTCCCCATCCCCAGGTTGGTCCCAACTGCTGCTCCACTAAGTCACCCACGGGTCTCTTCTCTGTGAAGCAAGTTGTGCGCGTTGCTGAGTTTAAGGGAAATGAATGGCATGCCAGATGGAGAGCACGCTGGGGGCTGGAGCCCCACAGCCTTGCTGATGCTGTTTAAACGTGTTTGTCTGTGGTTTAAATAATAGGAGAGTGAGCCTTCACTCTAAGGACAAAATGGAGGTAAGCTGTGAGGAACCAGGCTTCGATGGTTCACCATAAATGACTTAGGGGGTTCTTCATGGTGCAGTCTGGAACAAATAGGAGAGTGTTTCTGCTTTAGGAAATGGAGGGTGGGGGTATTCCATAGACTCACTGAGTCCTAAGGAGGAATGGGGCATAGAGGTTGCCCAGTATAGCCCCTCATTCTGCAGATAGGGGAATGGGACCAGGACTTGGATGGCTTGCCCCCAAAACACGTAGACAGTGGAGCAGATCTGACCCACAGCCTGCCCGGCCAGGGTGAAACCCTTAGTTCTTCCCCAAAGCCACTAAAGCCACTGAAGAAAATGCTCGAGAGGAACGGATGAATAGGCCTGTAACAGGCTTCTAAACGGAGTCCTGGTGCCCAGGTGGGTTACACACTGGGCTGCTGTTGGGTCAGCAGTTTGAAACCACCAGCCGCTCCTTGGGAGAAAGATGAGGCTTTCTACTCCTGCAAAGATGGACAGTCTCAGAGACCCGCAAAGGCAGTTCTACCCGGTCCTACAGGGTTGCTGTGAGTGGGAATCGACTCAGTGGCCGTGGGTGTGGTTTTTGAGGCACGATTTAAGGAATGATCCCTGGAAACTCACTTCAAGGAAGACAAGGAGGTCTTCTGACGCTGACTTGGTCATGTGAAACTGACTGTGGCCCCTACTATGCATCAGGAGTAGACCACCCCCACTTTACCCCACCCCCGCTCCGTAACAGAGCTCCTCTGCCTTATGACTGTGTTGACGCTTCCTGCTTCAAAGTAAGATCACTTTTGTAATGAACTCATGGGAAAAGTGTCTCATGAAGAAACAACTCAGCATTTCTGATAACAGATACAATTGTATCATCATCTGAAAGAGGAGGGATTGTCGGTTGGGGTTTGGTTGGCTTTGTCTTACTTTTCTGCCCTGCTGGGTGGGGAGCTGCCTTCACAGTCCCCACCTCCTCTTTGGCTTTGTGGGAAAGGTGAAGGCAGCTCTTGCACAGCACACAGCAGGGCCAGGGGGCTCCACAGACCTTTGGCAGCCTTGGCTCCCAACACAGGTGTATTGCTTTAACCACTCTACTTCTGTTTACCAAGAGAGCCCTGCCCTCCACCCCACCCCCAAGTCATCAAGGGCAGTATCGTGCACAGCCCCCGCCACCTGGAGGACGCTAAACAAATAATCAGACACGCAGCACTTTGCAGGGACTAGCCCCTATTTGGGTTCCATTTGTTTTTAAATCCCATTCTCCAGCCAGTCTATCTGATCTAGAACCCTGGTTTCCTACGTGGACCAGAAGGAATGGAAGGCGAGCATTAGGAAATCCAGTGACTTACGTCCAAACCGTTGTTGCTCTAGTCAAAAGGCTGTCATAGAAGCTCGAGAAACCGGCCCCTGTGCAAGGCCCAGGAGACCTGTGGGAGAAGGAAAACACAAAGGTTGCCCACCAAGTAGAGAGTGGAAGGCGGAACGCTGGGGAGACCCGGACAAAGGTGGTCACAGGTTTCACTGTATGTAGTTGCAAATTTATTTGGCGCCAACTGAGTCTCACTCCCTCTTTGTTCCTCCTTTCAGAATGCTGGAAGATGACCTCAAGCTGAGTAGTGATGAAGAGGAGAACGAACAGGTAGGCAGTTGCTGTAGTTCTGCCGTCTTTGACTGGGGCGGCGGGAGCCCTGGTGGCACTGTAGTTATTCATTGGGCTGCTAACTATAAGGTCAGCAGTTCAAAGCCATCAGCTGTCCCATGAGAGAAAGATGGAGCTTTCTACTCCTGTGAAGTTACCCTGACCCTCCACTAAGTGGCAGTGAGTTGGGTCTTTGTTTTGTTTTGTCTTTGACTGGAATACACATGCTGCTTACTTGATGGGCCCCGCTGGGAGCTAATTGCGTCTCATACACACCAACTTGTGGCCCACCAGGCCAGGTTGCTCTCTGCTCCTTGGACCCGTCTGCTAAGATACTCTGTTGGCCTTCCTTTCCCATAAGTGTATGATTCTGTGATGGTGTGACATCGAGGCCAGCCACAAGTATTTGTGAGGAAGCAGAGCAGCATCAGAAATAGAGCCCTCTTCCTGCGGAGCGGGCCAGCCAGCTCTGGAATGTGGCTGTAGCTCATCAGCATGCGGCAGGCCAGCCGGAGCATTAAATATTGAGGAGTCTTACACAGATACTATTAACATTGAGAAGAGGCGAGCGTCAAGGTAAGCGCCCGCGATGAATAAGAAATAATCAGGCTCCGTGGAGGCTGTTTGTCTTCAATGATGAATGTGCTGGAGACCGTCTCCCTTGGTGTTGATTTATCAGCTTGAGACATCAGTCAGGGGTTTATAAATAGTCTTGTGATCAGTCATTTAACATGGGAGGGAAAAAAACACACCTCACTTAATATTCACCAGTTCCCCATCTGCCTTTCAGGAAATGTTTGTATTATGAAACAAGTTTGAAAACAGCAAAGACATATTTCCTTTCCACCTCTCTTTCCATTTTCTCATTACCTGGATTGTATTTTGTCGGCTTTGTATAAATGTGACAGGCAAAGAGACAATTCCAAGGGGCACCTTTTTTTTTTTCCAATAAGTCATTTCTGCATGAAGCCTGAAATAGTTTTACTATTTGATTGATTTTGAAATCATGTCTTTTACTCAAAGGCATCATGAAATGCTGTGAAGGTGATCCCACTGTCTAGACGTGCAAATACAAATTAGAGAGAGAGAGAATGCAGGGGTGAAACCAACGTGGAGGGACGCTTTTTCCAGGAAGAGCACCTGAGCAGAACATTGCTGTGGGCTGGCAGAAGATGCTTGCCCTGTGAGAGGAAGGGAGGTGCCTATGTAGGACCCACCCCTGCCACTGCGATCCCGTTAGTTCCAACTCATAGTGACCCCCAGAGGGTTTCGAATCTTTATGGGAGCAGATTGCCTCATCTTCCTCCTATGCAGAGGCTGCTGGGTTTGAGTCAGCCTTGTGCTTAGTAGCCCAATCCCAGTAAGACAGAACTCACAGAATCTTGAAACAAGTTGGGCAAGTTGTGAAAAAGCCAAGTGAAGGGAGGTTGACTAAGCCAGGAGAGCCTCTGGGCAGCTAGTTTATGATGATTCTCTTTTGTTTGGTTTCTTCCTACATGCACACCGCGGGCTGTCAGAGCTATCTGACATAACACGGGTGGCAGAAATGTGGCATGTCTTCACTCCTGCTTTCGATTCCGTGTGGATGTGAGGGAAGTCCCTGGGTGATGCAAACAGTTAACATGTTCAGCCATGAACCAAAACGTTGGAGGTTCAAGTCCACCTTGAGGTTCCTCGGAAGAAAGACCTGGCAGTCACAGAAAGCCCTATAAAGCGTAGTTCTACTCTAACCCACAAAGGGCCACCAGGGATCACAGTGGACTCAATGACAACTGACTGCCGGGCTCATGTAGGTGACTCTAGTGCAGCGGGTCTCCACCTTCCTCATGCCACGACCCTTTCACACAGTTCCTCTTGTTGTGGGGACCCCCCAACGATCACATTATTTTCGTTGCTACTTCATGACTGCCATTTTGCTACTGTTATGAATTGGGCGACCCCTGTGAAAGGGTCGTTCGACCCCCAAAGGGGTCGCGACCCATAGGTTGAGAACCGCTGCTCTAATGTTTTGCCATTTGGATTTAATCCTATCAACCTTAGTAATTGTGTAGCCTTTCTGTTAAAAACAGGTTTTATAGACTATTTCATTCAGTGAGCCTTTCAGAATTTTGAAAGAATTTCGGGAGTTATTTCCAGAAATGTTTCCCTGAAAACTTGATTGGGGAGTGGGGGGTGGGGGTGGGGGATGCGTTCTCAATGACACAGATCTTCTCTAAACCAGTACGGATAAATCAGCAAGAATTTTTATTTGACTGATTGTGCATTGTTAACTATTCCTTTTCCATGGTAGTCATTGGTGATATTGTGAATGTGTAGGCCAAATCCTCTGTTTCTGCATTTGGTCCCTGTGTATGTATACCACCCCTTTCCTATTTTGCTATACAGTCTCTTATTCTGTCAACTCCTATTCGAGGAGCTGACAGAATAAGTGACTTTTATATACAGCAATCCCTTGCTCGTAAGAAAGACTCCAGGTAGTGGTTTTGTGTCTTGTGTTTTAAGTTACTGCTTCAACACTAATTACATTAAGTTATCCTGCTTTGGCCTATAGTTATGCCCCGGCCTAACCACAAAATGGTAATTCTTATGCTTTTTAAAAGGACTAATTAGATGGTAGCTTATTTTCTCTGAAAGAGCAAACTATGATTTCCCCCCAAAAGAACCGAACCTGTGTACAAATATGTCAACACACACATCACTTCTCTGGCATTGTGAGATAGTGAGATAGCTGGGACTCTGTGGGACTGCCTTGGGTCACCAGTGACCTCCATGGAGCCAAAGGTACCGGGTTTTTTGTAACCCCTCAAACAATCTGTCTGACCACAAGACTTCAACTCAACTCTACTGAACTCACTTCAGCTCAACACAACTTAACATAATCCTTCAACTCGAGTGAGTGCCCACTCAGAGCCACCCTGTAGGACAGAGCAGAATTACCGCTGTGTTTCTGAGACTGTAGCTCTTCACATGAGTAGACAGCCTCATCTTTCTCCCAAGGAGTGGCTGGTGGTTTTCAACTGCTGACCTTGAGGTTATAACCCACTACCCTCCTGGGTCTCCCTCCATGAGGCAGGGCAGTGAAAACCATTGCTCACTCCCTCCATGTCTAGTTTGTTTCCTGTCCCTCTGGGAGTTTCTTCTTAGGCTCCTTTGCTGTCTTCTTTTATGCAGCCTCTAACAATGATCCTTTCAGCATGCTGTCACCCTGACTTCTCTCCTCTTCCACTCTCCCTTGGTGTTCGGATCTATTCCCTTAGCCTCTGGTTTCTGTATGCTGGCAATTTCTAAAGCCGTATCCTCAACTCAGAGCTCTTTTATGAACTATGGACCCATCAGACTTTTCCACTTGACCAGCCTCATAGGTATTTCTAACACAATTTGTCAGAACCTACACTGCTGGGCTTTGCCACTTCTCTACATGAACACACACAATAGATACCTCTTTCGATTGTTCCCTTTTTCACTGCCAGGCACGCAGTTGTTCAAGCCGAGGAACATCAGACTCGTCTTGAAGACTCCTTGAACTGCCTGGAAATATTCACTTTATCGCCAATCCTATAAGTGTAACCCCTAAGATTATTAAAGTGGGTACACATTGGGCTGCTAACCACAAAGTTGGCCGTTTGAAACCGCTGGCCACATTGAGGGAGAAAGACAGGGCTTCCCCGGCCCGCCCCCCAAAGAATTACAGTCTGAGAAACTCACAGGGGACCCTGTCCTATAAGGTCAACTCAATGGCAGTGATTTGATCTCCGATTATTAAGGAGCCTTGGAAGTGCTGTTGGGTAAGTGTTGGATAGCTAGCCACAAGTCTGGCAGTTCAAGTCCACCAGCTACACTGTGGGAGAAAAGTGAGGCTGTCTGTTGTTCCTGTAGAGAATTGCCGTCTCAGAAACCTAGAGGGTCGCCATGAGTCTAAATCTCGTTGAGGGCAGTGGGTTTACATTTGAAAGCTTGCCTATCAGTCCACTTTTTTCCACTCTGACTCGTTTAAATAAACCACTGTAGTATTAGCTATCTTATTTCTGTTCCTGCACACTTGTACGGACTTGCAGCTTGTTGTTAGATGGAATGTCTTATAAATCCCAAATAGATCCTACTGTTTGATGTTGGTGGGGACTTGTTCATACTTGTTAGTTCTCTGTCTAGAGCAGGGGTCCTCAAACTTTTGAAACAGGGGCCCAGTTCACTGTCCCTCAGACCGTTGCAGGGCCGGACTATAGTTTTTTAAAAAAAACTATGAACAAATTCCTCTGCACACTACACTTATCTTGTTTTGAAGTAAAAAAAACAAAACAGGGCAAAAACACCCAGCGGGTCGGATAAATGTCCTTGGCGGGCCATGTGTGGCCTGAGGGCTGTAGTTTGAGGGCCCCTGGTCTATATGTTCACCCTTCCCAGTGATTTTTTAAAACATAAATCAGAACTAGTCATTCTTTGGACTCAAATCTTAAATGCGGTTCCCATCCTACTTGGGATAAAATTTAGAGCCCAAACATGGTACCTTGTTAAATAGCCTGGCTGCCTGTTTCCTCCCCTGCACTCGTACACGGCGCTCATCCACTGTGCCCCCACCACATGGGTCTTCTTTGTGCTCCTCCAGGAAGCCAAGCTCAACTCCCTGATAACCCCCATAACCTCGACTCCCCTTCTGGTTTTGCCTTGCTCATCTCGCCTACTCATCTTATGAGCACACCATAACTTCTTCACAAAGGCCTCCCCATTATCTCATCAGACCCCATCATTTTAATTGTTGCTACATACCACCAAACCCATCCCAGCTCATGCCAACCCAATGTGCAACGGAACAAACACTGTCCCGTCCTGCTCCATCCCCACAAATGTTATGTTTGAGCCCGCTGTTACGGCCACTGTGTGAATCCATCTCATTGAGGTCTTCCTCTTCTACTTTACTAAGCATAATGTCCTTTTCTAGGGACTGGTCCCTCCTGATAGCATCTCCACAGTGGTGAAACAAAGTCTGACTTTCTCACTTCTAG